CAGTGCCGAAGCGCGCACAAACAAAATCACACCCTTGGGTTGTGACAGTTGGAAGCCAGCACAATTTAAGAACAATTTATGACATAATGACTCCACTAACAGTTACTGGGCTAAAAGACACAACATTAAGATATATATACCGATCTCAAGACATCTTGGCTTTATTGCACCTGGTTATTTACTTTGGCTTTTTCATAGACTCATAGATTGTAAGGGGCTGGAAGGGACCTCAGAAGATCATCGGGTCCAGCCCCCTGCACCAGGCAAGGAAGACAACTGTGGTCAGGTGACCCCAGCAAGGTGACCATCTAGTCTCCTCTTGAAAATTTCCAGGGTAGGAGATAGCACCATCTATGGAGGGAGCTTATTCCACAGTCTGGACATCCTAACTGTGAAGAAGTTTTTCCTAATGTTGAGCCTGAAACGGTCTTCCAGGAGTTTGTGGCCATTACTCCTGGTTTTCCCTAAGGGTGCCCTGGTGAACAGTTGTTCACTGAGCCCTTGATGTACTCCCTTGACATAGTGGTAAGCTGCTACCAAGTCCCCTCTCAGCCTTCTTTTTTTCAGGCTGAAGAGTCCCAGGTCCCTCAGCCTATCTTTGAATGGCTTGCTGTGCAAGTCTCTGATCATATGGGTGGCCATTCTCTTGAATCTCTCTAGCTTTACAATGTCCTTGTTAAAATGTGGTGTCCAGAACTGGATGCAGTACTCCAGCTTCACTCTCACCAGTGCTGAGAACAGTGGAAGAATCACCTCCTTGGCTTTGCTGAAGATGCATCGATTGATGCATGCCAGAATATTACTTGCCCCACTGTCTACAGCATCGCACTGCCGGCTCATATTCATACTGTGGTCTGTTATTACTTCCAGGTCCCTTTCATTTGTAGTGCTAGTCAGTTTGGTGCTGCCAAGCTTGTAGGTGTGTTGGGGGTTGCTCGTCCCAAGGTGGAGCACTTTACATTTCTCAGTGTTGAACTTCATCAGATTCTGATCCATGCAACTTGCTAGCTTGTCTAGGACCACCTATATCTGTAGCCTATCTTCAAGCATGACTGCGCTTCCCCATAACTTGGTGTCATCCATGAACTTGGCCAGTGAGTGAGCTCTTCACCCCTACATTCAAATAATTGATAAAGATGTTGAAAAGCACTGGATAAAGTACTGACCCCTGAGGGACACCACTGGTCACTTCTTTAGAACTCTCTGGGTCCTAGCCACCTAACTGTCTTGCAGTTAAGCCCACAATCCTCCAATTTTCTTGTGAGAACATCATGGGATAGTGGATCAAAGGCTTTTTGGAAGTCAAGGTATTTTTGCTGAGCACAACAATTGTACACAAAGGGCATGTCCCAATGGGTGTGCAAGTGTGGTCTGAGGCGCTTCAAACTGCATGCAGCACATGTGCACCCATTTGCAGTGCTGCTAATTAGCAGTGCAGCAGGTTTTACTGACACGGGGAGATCCAGCTCAGTCTCGCTGCCCCAGGAGGCTCCCAGAACCCCAAGTAAGGCTGCTGGGGCCAGCCTCCCCTACTCCACCCAGGTCACTTTGCCCACATTGGAGCACACCTCCAGGAGCCTGCCCGGGGACAAATGGCAGTGGCACAAATATGTGCCGCTGTTATTTGTCCTGCAGAAAATGCACACCCATGCATGTGCACACTCATTGAGATGCGCCCAAAGAGTCAGATTCTGTTCTACCTAATTAGGCATCTAAGTAGGTTTAAGTGCCTATATGTAATTCTGTTTCACAGGGAGATGGATCTTTCTCCTTGCTGCTTTTTTATAATTTAGCTTTAAGGGTTAGAGGATGGTGTGGATGCATTAATGGATTTTTAGGGACTTGAACAGGGTGGAATAAAATTGCACTGTGGTGGCTAAGTCCACTTAAGATTCCTAACAGGCAGAACAGAATCTGGCCCCAAATCTTTTAGCATGAAGGGATATAAACTATCTTTAATCTGTGAAACCTGGACTAATATCACAGATAATATTTTTGTCAAAAAATTGAGCCCCAATTTTAAAAGGGACTTATTTTCACATAAGTCTTTGTTTTCCCTTTTCCAAAACATTCCAGTAAATGAGTTTTACATATACATTCTCATAGGTATATGTTTTACATATACATCTGAGTTTTATATATCTCAGATGTATATGAGTTTTATATATACATTCTGGTTACCCAAGATGAGGTAGGAGAGGGTGGGGCCAGGAACTGTGCTGGTCCCAGCAGCCTCACCTGGGATCCTGCGGACCTTGGGGAGCTGCAGCCTTGGCACTTTTGCATGAGGAAGCCTGGTTGGCAGCTGGAGTGTGAATCCAGCTGGCCAGGCTCCGGTTTTGGGCAATGCACACTGCCACCATATGTGGCACACTTCTTTTTGGTGTGGGTTTTTTTGACCCCAGGATCTCCTGTGGTCAAATCCTCCCCCCCCCATCCCCATGCTTTAAAGTAGCAGCATGGGGAATACCTGCATGTGCAATGTATGGCACCGCAAATGGAACTGCAGTGCTGTATAACTTATGTCCGCGCTCGACTGGACACACCCTCTGAATTTATCTTGGGAAGTATGTTTGCACACCGAACAGTGTTAATGTTGCATGGCACCCTGCAGCACCCTTGAACGGATCTTAAGGCAACCCAGGGTGCCGCGGCGCACTGGTTGAGATTTACTGGATGCCACTTTAAACTCCACATGACTAAGAATTGACCCTGAATATTCTCACAGTGAATTTGTACCAGATAGTTCAAGTACCTCTTAGATGTACTCCCAGTATAATAAAGCAATTAGTAAGGCCCTGAACTGGGGTTCTATATGGGTGCTGTTTGCAAGGACAGGGCAAAGTTCCTTAAATCCAAAAGCTTTAAGAGGCAGAATGGAAGGTCACAAATTAGTCTTCTGCTCCCAGGAGTGTGTTTCAATAACAATTTGGCTGCACTGTAAAGCTGCTTTCTCTATAACCCATGAGCGCCTGATCCAATGAGACTGGGAAGACACAGAAGGCTGCATTAATTCACAGTAATAACCCAGTACCTGTTCTCAGATGGAAGCCCTCTTTTCTAATTAGTGATCTCCTGTATTGGAACAAACTCATTTTCTAGGACTGATGACATTACAACCTTAGTCAATATTAAAAAAAAAATAGAAAAGATAATACTGTTTGACAATTTATGGCAGGTCATCTCAGGGTTGTAATGGACTGATCTCAAGGCCAGAGCTGCTGATTTGTACTCAGATATACAATTCCAGTATCTTTTGAAATCCAGTCCTAGCAGCTATAAATAACTTTTTTTGAAAAATAAAAGGATTTTTACTGATTGCCATAAGACATTAAGAACTTAACACGATCAATACTGCCAAACAGAAATTGGAAGTGTAGTACAACAAATCACACTGAAGAAGCACATATGGTAACAGAAATAGAAATTATCCTTTATTGAACAATGAGGAATCACTTCTGCAGGCAGTATTTTCCATTCAGTAGAATCAAGCCAGTTCCAGGTAAGCATATCTTAAACCCCGTAGGATTTAATCAGTCCTTCGAGCTTGTAACTATCCTTTGCAAACATCAGGCATGTGTTTTTCCATTTAGCCCATTTTGTTCCTCACTCCAAGACTGCAATAAACAGTATGTAGCTATGATGAAATAAAACAACCCCCTCACCCGAAACCAACCTTTTATTATAGTTTCTCGGTGCAGCACAAAGGAAACCATTAAAAAATCAAACTTGCAGTCTATCAGCATTCTAGGTGCTCAGTAATTCTTTCATTTCTCAAGCCAAAAATATCAAATCACATGCCAACATCTTACACTTTTGTACATATGTCATCAATAGCAGTATTAATATTACAAATCACTTAAGGCCTCCATTAAGGAACTATGCATGCCCTAAAGCAGATTCTCAGCTGGTGTAAATCAGTGTGGCTCCATCTGTTGAATAAAATTTATTTTTGCCTAGAGTTTTATAACAGGGAGGCCAGTATCAGCCCGTGTTAGAGAGAAAATTGTAAAGAACTTACCTGAGATAAACGCTTGGAGTGTGGTATGGAGGATGATATCATCAAGTGGCATCCATCTGAGGAAATCCCAGAACCAGCTGAGGGGGAAGGTGATGGATGAGGAATCTCCACTTGAACCAGAGAGACCTATAAAAGGAGCAACAATGTGAAGGTTAGTTTCCCCGGGAAGGGGACGGAGGATCAGCTCTCCAAAAGTTGCTATCATCTATTTTACACGGAGGCATAGAGCTTTAAGAACCAAGTCTGTGCTGGCTGGTGGCAAGCAAAGTCAGTGAACATGAGCACAAAAGAGTGATGGTGAGCTCAGCTAACTTGATAACTGTTAGAAGCAGGAAGGAAGGGGGAAGAAACCCCTTCCTGAGCCCCTTGTTGGGTAGAATGTTGGGAGGGAAGGAAATGTGCACTGATGCATGTGACTGTATAACATTAAAAGGAACTGTGTATTCAATAACACTTAATGAGAGGATTGGCAGCAAAACAAACTCGTTGGAGGTCAAAGCTGGGTAAATCATTTTTTTGTCCCCCATGAGCTAAGAAACTCAGGATCAGGAATGGTTGGACATGGACAGAGTGTGAGGGGAGGTGGAGCCATGCAACTACAACCACAAAATGAATCACCGGATATCATATCTGGGCCACTAACCTTCCCTTGGGAGTATACTAATTCATTTTCTCCCATCAAGGCATGGCAAGAAAGTTCCTGAAGAGGCAACTACACACATGTGGGGCGAATAAGGACAGCCTTGTGTGACCTGTAACTGTCCTGTGACAAGTTTACAGACTCATTGCTGATCAGATCACACACCATATATGTCAATGTATTAATCATTAGAATATTCAACCTTTTGTCACTTGAACTCCCATAATGGTAAAAATGGATAAACGGTATTGGAAGAACATCGAACTGGTAGTCTACCAGCTCAAAATCTATCTGAGAAATATGGGCCAGATCTTTCAATAATATACAGCTCAAGGGAGCTATAATGATTTGCATACGCTATGTTTGGGACTTATAAGTTCCAGACTCAGGTAATGCCCTCCATTTACAGAGACTATATCTACAGAACTGTATGTTACGGGCATGATAACTGTGGGCTTTTAGAAAATAAACATTTTTTTTCCTACATACATAGCCATAAAAACTAAACACTCTTGTAGCTGACACAAGGTGTACATGAACACTGGGTATAGACCTGTGTCCAAAATAGGACTGCACCTACATTACTTTGCAGACCCTAAGGAGCTTGTGTCAGACTCTAAAAACTATTTGACTTGTGTTATTAGTAAGGACTTTCAATCCAACCTTAATAGATAGTGCATTTCTGGCTCACAGACGGTCTACACAAGTTTTTTTTTTTCCTGAAAGGTTTCTCACCTTTGTTATCACTACTATGAAATGGGCTCCTAGGAATTTCCCACATTATGATCCCTGTTTTATCTAATACTAATAAGGAAAGATTTGACAAACATGGTTTTAAAAGTGGTGGTGGAAAAACCAGTGGGTCCTAGAACTTGTTCTTTATTAGTGGTCTTATTATATCTATTCCCCAGTGTTAGCATAGAAGGAAAAAAGCTAGCTCTGTCTCAGCCAGAGCTCAACAAACAGAACTAAACTAACTGAAGCTTTACCATTTAAGGTTGATATCCATTCCCTAAAGCCATTTGTTTATGTTTAGAAGCCCACATCAATGTGGTCAAAGATCTTTTCCCCTTTATATTAGGCAACCATATAGGAGTCCACAATTCCTCAGATTCAAAGGCGGTGAGGGCAACTTCACTGTCTGATTAGTCACTGTACATTATCCCATGTCAATACATGTCAAGTATCTGATGGAGTAGGCTGTTGTATACAAAAACTCAGGCCTCTAAACCAGTTAGTCTCTAAAAGGACCACCCTGCCCCATGTTCTGCATGTCAAGACCTATAATCCTTTTGACCAATGACTTAGAAATTACCTTCAATTGTTATTTAGGAGTGATATTTGACAATAAAAATCTATAATAGATCTCTTAGCTTTATGTGCTGCAGAGATCATAGCCACTTTCATAGAGCCTGATAGATGCTTCTTATCAAACCTTTCCCTGAGTATTCCAACAGCAAATATGCCTATGTGTTGCATTGGGAAACACGAATGACTACTGCTCATTGACTAAACAACATAGCTCTAACTGGGGCTTATGGGTTCTTGATTCCATAGCTAATTCAGAAGTGTATAAATATACATTGGAGTAGCTGTGACAAACACTTTAACTAATTCCATGGTCTGTGAAAGAGCTGTATCCCTCTGAATCAACAGCTTGAGATATTATAGTGTGACCGAAAGCCCACTAAAGTTATTGGAATGATTCACAACCACCTCCCCGGGCACTGGATCCAGGCTATTAATAACTAAACACAGCTCCTCCAGATTATTAATAATTTATGCTGCACTAGTGTTAAAAGGTCTTAAATCAGGGCTGGTGACCCATTGTGCAACTTTAGGGCATGTATGAACTCAGAGGACCCAGCTCCTTATGTCAGAGACCTTACAGTATAAAAAGGCATGCTCACATGAACCTGGTTAATAGGGAATCTTGCTATGTATGAGTCATATTAGTTGGAAGCTTGTTTTACACCTAGGTATATAAACTCTTTGTCTTAGATATAGGATATCTATTTGATTTCCTGGAATTGACATAAAATTCAATATTCTTGCAGTCATTTGGATGGCGTTCTTTGCTTCCGTTTCCTAAAAATTGGAATAAAACAGACCTCTAGGTCTTTTTCCTTCCTGTTAAATGTCTGCCCCATTTCATTGCTCTTCAGCCTTCTCTCTTTTTTTGAGCAGCTATTTAAACGGTCTCTAATGAAAGCCATTAGAGTCTCACAACAAAGCCCCCGTCTCATGCCTTCAAGGCAGAAGGTTTTTTTTGAAAGCAGACACAACTTTTCCAATATTGGAACTGAGGTACAAAGGTTGCTTCATGCAGGATAGTGGAATGTAGCTTGGAATAGCCACTGACTGGCACAAATTAACAAGCAGTGAACTGACATGAGCCAAGGTAATTTTTCTGCTGGTTAGATAAAGCTACCTCTGAGGTATCAACAGTTCTTTCTATTTTCTCTACAACTGAAATGTAATCATGTGCATTTTAGCCAGAGTATATCTCTCTTCCTACTTACCAGTTTTATTTGAACTTTACTTTTTCGGACCATGTCATTCTGAGATGTATCCTGCTTTCCCGGTCAGTCTAACAGCCTTACCGCAGTTAGAATCACCACCAAAGTGCTAACTGAACTTCTTTGGCTGGGCTATATCAAAAAATATGTATTTTCTGGGTAGGAAACAATTTCAAGATGTAATTTTTCATTAAAATATATCAGTTTGCTTTTTCATTCTTTCACTTTAAAATGAGAAACAGAATTGCTGTTGAAGGGCAATCTTTTCCCATAGTAATTCTGGTCTTTTTGTTTTGTTATAAATTAGGTCTCTGGACAGATGTCTTAATATGTGACCCAAACAACAGTATCTGACCCTCTTTGTACCAGGCATCTGATGCTGACCCCATGTGAGCAGTAACTATAGTTGGCAGCCCTAGTAATCACACTACAAGCTGAAGAAACTAGTTACAGATGCTTCTAGCATCAGATCCATCTAATTTCGTGTGGGTTCCTTCAAGAATGACATTTCAGAGGTTATGTGAAAACAACCTTTTCTCCCAGTCCAGCTGAGATTTTAAAAAAATAGAAAAAAGGATAGAGGTAAAGCACCAGTCAGTTAGGAGGATGGATACTTCAGTATCACACAAAATTCCATTCAGCCGTAATAATATGGAGGGATAAAGACAATTATCAATTCTAAAAATAGCTATGCAGTTCTAGGCTGAAAGATTTAGCTCTTACCAATCTAAACATGAACCTCTAGGTTCCATGAGCCTTTGCCCAAATCAGGACTACCTTTGGAGCAAATGTTTTTCTGCTTTTGTCTTGGACTTTGTAGACAAGGGACTGAATAACAGAAAGTCCCAAAACAGTAACTTGAGCCAGAAGCTAGAAATACCAATGAAGACAAAGAAATTGAAGGGTATGGGGAGGGAGTGAAAACAGAATTGGATCAAGCATGTTAAAATGTAAGCCAGCATATTTGGGGAAAAATAAATTCAGGTGGGGGGGGGGGGCACCTGGAAAACAGGAAATGACTAGGAGAAAAGATGAAATAGTTAAATAGAGTGACATCCTGATCTCAGCAAAATTGGAGCTGTTTTGCAGTCTACTTCAATTAAGCCAGAAGTTCACCCAGACAGTGTGTCCCCAGGTGCGGTAGGAGAAGCTGGGGCCATTACTGGACGCCCCAGCAGCCTTGCCTGGAGTCCGGGGGACCCCCTGGGGCTTCAGAGTCAATCCTGGCACTTGGAGCCTGGCTGGTGGCTGGAGCGTGGCTCCGGCCAGTCAGGCTCTGTTTTTAGAGGGCACACTCTACCCCCGTGTGCACCACCCCACTTTGTTTTTGTGCAGGTGTTTTTTTACCCTGAGATTGCCCAGGATTACCCTCTGCCCCCCCCACCCCAACCTGGCAGTATGGAGAACAGCTGAATGTGTGGTATGTCTACAGTGCCACATACCACATAGCCGTGCTTGTCTGGGTGCGGCCCAAGAGTCTAGACGACACGCATGCCAATTTAGACCAGTTTAAACTTCCTGAAACATTTCAAAAGCAAACCCAGAAAATCAAGTACTATTCTGAGCTGGTCCCTCTTGAACTGATTTAATATTATGTGCAGACACACAGCATTCTGTGCCTAGTCAGTCCTCCAGGCATCCCAAACTGCACTATTCCTCACCCCATCCCCCACAAACCCTTGCAGGGCAATGGGGTTGCTCTCAGATGCAACCAGGACTTTGCTCTCCAAAGAGCTATTGCTTACAGAGACCACAGTTGGCAGAGGTGGGGAAGTGGAAAACTTCTGTGCTAGTTTCACTTCCCTGGGTGGTGAGGGGGGTAACCAGGCTTATGTGGGATGAAGGAAGGTAGCCAGGTTTGCAGAAGGGGCAGGTCTCTGTAGCCCCCCTGCTTGTGATGGTGCCTATAACAGTAAACATCTGTTAATTGCTGTGTGGTGGCAGCTGGGAAACAAGTGCCCGTTGTGCAGTGGCTAAGAGAACACCAAATTCCGTGCTCAGTGTGAAGTGAATTAGCCCATTAAGGCTAGGGACAGAAATTACACATGAACCGATATCAGTGGCAGGAATCTGTTTCAAATCTGTAACACAACAGAAGTACAGCAGACTTAAATCACTTTCAACATGGCAGAAACTGATTTAAGATACACCTGGATGGGTGTAGTATCAGATTTAACTGATTTAGTTTAAATTGTTTTTTTGGATTGTCCCAGATCCCCTCCAGATTCGAGCTGTGTGCTCCAGCCCAGCAGGGAGGCTGTCTGTTTACTTCCTTCTCAGTTCAATCTACGCAGTTTAAATTAATCTGCAAAGACTGAATCTATTTAGCACTGGGCTTTTGTCTGTACTTAGCCTAAATGTTAATTATTCCTTGCCCTCTGTCAGCCCTGCCTGGCAATGCAAGGTACTTGACGGGCTGGAAAAGCCCGAGTGCGCTTGGGGGTGTGGCAGAGCACCCACAACCTGGGAGCCACAAGCTGGGCTCTAACAACACCCCACCAGGTAACCCTGCCACCCCCCACTGCCCTAACCCAGGTCTCCCCCAAACCCCAGAGGACTCCAGGGAAGCTCCAGGCAGGGACCCCTCGAAGGCAGGATGCTCTGGGCATACGCCAGCCCTGAGGGTATTTGGCAGCAATGCAACCCTTACAAGGGGCCGATTCTTCAAATTCCTCAATGCAGTGGCGATGTGTAGGGGGTGCACGCGCACCCCTCCCCCCAGAGTGCTGGTGCACCCCCTGACCGGCCGCACTCCCCACTTAGGCGATGGGCAGGTGGGAACGCTGGCTGGGGAGGGGAGCGCACCGGATGTAGCCCCATGGCTGCTTTCCTGGTCGG